AAATAAATATATTAAAACAAGAAATAAAGAAACTTTGGTAAGTATGAACGGAATATGTAGCGGAGAAGTAACAATTGTTTGCATCCTTGAAATACATCCAAGTCTTCGACTTTGTTAATGACAACTACCTGCAAGCCGTCGTCTTTTCTGCACCTGACACGTCCTCTAGAGAACCATACGTATCTGATTTTTTTCTGTCTCGCCAGCTAATAAAGATGACGGTTGTACGAGGTAATTTCCCCACCTATATATATTCTTTCATCGGTATCACAACCGAGGTGCCTGGTGATGAAATACCTTTTTATTCTTCTGAGTCGAAGCATCTCATCTCGAATCGTCTGGTGGACAAAACGCACGATGATCGACGGTAGCTGGCTGTCTTCCTCTAGAACGCTTTCTTTCCACCAAATCCAAGTCCTCAGTATTAAGCTTCACACCTAGGGCAACGCCGACGGACAAAACTATCTCCTCTGGCGTTTCCACGGTCTTCGTGTGGATCTCTTTGAACTCAAGCGAATGGAAAAACTGGGCCTGCTCTGCACAGTTTAACTTGATCTCCATATTGTTAATTTCCTTTTTTAGGTTATTATTTTCTGTTAATAGTTTATCGATAAGTTCCTCCTGTCTTTTGGAACATTCTTCCATCGCCTTAAGCCGTTCCGAGTGTTCAAATTTCACAGTTTCTTGTTTGTCCACGGTGCTTTTAATATATTTTATATCAGATGCAGTGATGTAAATGTTTAAAGTACATAAATAAGTTTTTATTTATAATAACCCAATTAGATTTCGCAAATATTTAATTATATATATATGAAAAATTATATATAATCACAGCACTTCCATATGCATCTATTAGAGTAATGGGTAAGGAAAGCACTTCGGATAAGGCAGTAGACCTAAACTCATGTGCCTGAATTTGAGTTCAACTTGTATATTAGTCGAGAACTAGTAAATTATTTTTTATTTTATTTTATTTTTGTCATCTTCATATACACTTTCCTCTTCAACGACACACTCAAACATTCATGCATAAGAATAGGTTAAAAAATAGTAAAGGAGCTAAAATTACTTTTTTAATTCATTTATATACAATATATATATATATATATATATATATATATATATATATATATATATATATACCTATATATTGAAATCAGGCTAAATCAGAAAAAAATAAAATAAAATATTTAAAAAGCTCTTAGTAGGGTTGGGCTTTTACAACGCCCTAATTAGTCCCCTCCTTCCGTTTTATCTTTCTAATCTGTAGGAGAAGCTTCTTCTTAATAATTCATAAAATTGTCTTTAATATTGAATTTTTTTAGTTTGTTTTACTCATTTTCCATTGTAACTTCATTTAGGCTTTTTAATAAGTAATGGTAGATGTTGGGATTTAATATGGGAGCCCATTTAATATGGGATTTTATTTTTATATTAAGAATTTAAACTTAACTAATTTAACCTAACTAAGGCAGAAAATTTTCTCTTAATCTTTACTATTACAGTTGACATTTTTTCACTGATATATTATTGTAAAATAAACTAAGAAAGTTTAGATGAAATTGGAAGAATGGAAAGAGAATTCTAGAAAAGTCAGAAGAAATAGTTGTTACCAACGGAAGGAGAGAATTTAAAGGTGTCTACTAGAAATTAACTGTATGTATGCCTCCACCAATATTTTTTTTTAATTGAAAAATATTATTCCTTGAAATATGAAATATAGGGAAAAGATTGAGATAAAAACTGAAAACGTTGACTGTGTTGTATCTAACGAATCATCTTTTTAAGATTTGTCTATTAATATATTTTATAATAGATTTCAAGATTTTAATACAAATTATATTTTAAAATTGAAAATATATCTGACTCCTATGAAGTGAAATGAAAACTAATAATTAATTTCAGGCAGAACCTTTAAAAATGTCTTTTAAAAAACCTATGGCATGAGAATAATTTTTAACCATATGAAACAATATAAATTTCAGTTTTAAACGATTTATATATTTACCATTAAAAATAGTTCTATATGAAAAAAACTGAAGACGACTAATGCATACAAAATAAAAATGGGAATTGTTCGATGGGAAAGAATATTATGATTTTTAGAGGTAATGGATTGGTGAATTGATGATAATTAAGATGTATTTATTTTTGCCATTAAGGTACAATAAATTATTTAATATATGTTATAAATACCACAACAGTGATTTAATCAGAAGATTCTTTTTATTATTACTTTTAATAGTTAGTGATTCTTTATACATCATGTAGATATTGCTACGAAAAAATGCTAAATCGATTTTTTTTTTGTCAAGTTTTATCGTTATTATTTATGATGAATGCTAGAAACTAAAATTAAATTATTAAATAATAAGTTTTGAAACGATTTACGATTGAAAATGTAACTTGTTTTAACTCTCGTTAAAACTTTTATGTCCACTTCGTATAACATTTTCAATTCCCTTTACTTTATGATATCCGTAGACGAAAATGTGGCACTTTGGCAAATGGGGGCAAAATGGGTAGTTAATATAATTTTAAAAATTAATAGTATAAATAGTAATAAATAAAATTAATAGTATAAATAGTAATAAATAAAATAATTGAAATAGAAACTAATAGAATCGAAAATAACGTAAGAGACATGTACAAAGGTATAAACAGATCACGTAAATATGTAGGGCCCGTAACGTCTGGAATTAGGGATGATAATAACAATATTCTGACCGATCCGGTTGACATATTGAATAAGTTTAAGGACCACTTTGACAATATTTTAAATACGGGAAATTATGATCTGTGTCCTCCTTCTGAGTACCAGAGTGCTGAACCGTTGATAGAAGGACCAAGTAAAGAGGAAGTTGAAGTAGCTATCGGAAAATTAAAATCATATAAAGCAGCGGGAATCAATAATATTCCTACTGAACTAATTAAGGCATGCGGGGAAGCTGGAGTTTCTAAAATACATCGGTTGGTTAAAAAGATCTGGGTGAACGAGAAATTACCTGAAGAATGGAAAGAATCTATTCTTATTCCGATTCACAAAAAGGGTCCGAGGACGGATTGTAATAACTATCGAGGAATTTCACTCCTTCCGGTATGTTATAAAATATTCACTTCAATCTTAACTAGTCGAATCACGGAATACGCCGAGGAAATTATCGGAGACTACCAATGCGGATTTAGACGGAATCGTTCGACTATTGATCAAATATTTTCTTTACGGCAAATATTAGAGAAAAAATTGGAGTATAACGGTATTGTTCACCAGCTTTATATAGATTTTAAAAAGGCTTACGATTCTATTGACCGCCAGAAACTGTATAATATTCTAATTGAGCAGGGGATTCCAAAAAAACTAGTAAATCTAGTCAGGATGTGCTTGACGGAGACACTCAATAAAGTTAGAATCGGTAATAATTTGTCCGAAAAATTTGAGGTTCGTTCGGGCTTAAAACAGGGGATTCACTTTCGCCTGTCCTGTTCAATTTGGCATTAGAACATGCCATTAGGGAGGTAATGCGAACCGAGAAAGGGTTGGATCTGGGCGGGACAACATCCGTGCTGGGCTATGCTGATGATCTGGTACTGTTAAGCGAAGACGTTGAAACTATAAAACTAAATACGACAACGTTAATGAAAGCCGGGAAAGAACTAGGACTCGAAATAAACGTGGATAAAACAAAATATATGGTTAGCTGCAAAAATGGCGATACTACTGGTGATATCGATATAGATGGTAATATGTTTGAACAGGTAGATAAATTTAGGTATCTAGGTTCAACGATAACTAGAAAAAACGAAATTGAAGAAGAGATTAAGGTTAGACTGAAGGCGGGAAATGCTTGTTATTTTTCTGTGACAAAACTACTTAGTTCGCGCCTCTTGTCCCGGAACTTAAAAATTAGAATCTATAAAACAATTATCTTGCCTACAGTTCTTTATGGATGCGAAACTTGGCCGCTTACATTAAGGGATGAGCAGCGTCTTAAGGTTTTTGAAAATAAAGTATTGCGTAGAATATTCGGACCGAAGAAGGATGAGTTAACCGGAGAGTTCAGACGGCTACACAACGCCGAATTGCGTGAGCTGTATCTGGGTAATATAATTGATGTAATTTCATCGCGGCGAATCAAATGGGCTTGTAAAGTTGTTGGGCTTAGTAACGAGAGAATTCCTAAAAGGTTAATATTTGCTGTGCCGAATGCTAAGCGTCCGAGGGGTAGACCGAAGCGAAGGTGGGAAGATTGCATTAAAGCCGATCTGAAGGGACTGGGTTTTGACGGCGAACGGTGGAGGGAGGTGTGTAACAAGCGATTGGTGGTGTCGGCATCGAACCTTCGGGTTCGCTAAGCCTTATTATTATTATTATTAATTTTTGAAACTTGGAAAGGGGATGAGAGTGTGGCTCACTGCAGGTGGTAAGGTCCTAGATTCATCGCTGAGCTCATCGATGGCAACGGATTGGTCTCTAAACTTGGAGAAACGAAAACATCGATGAGCTCAGCATTGAGTTCAGAAACTAATCAATATTATCAATTTGGCATTTGTTAAATATGTATAACATCATTATAAAGGAAGGAATTCTCAGGAATAATTTGATAAAATTAGTATGAGCAATACCTAAAATGGCGTCTATGCATAAGTGAAAATAACAGCGGAAATGAAATATTCAGTAATTTAATCGAATAGACGTGAAATATAAAAATGACGAAAGAATCGTTTCAATTTAGTCGTTAGTTAGAACATACTTGTACCAATATTTTATCTCGAATATAAAATTTGATAACGTTATAATAGAACGGTAATTATTTAGATGAGGACCGTAAGGATTATATGTGGTTCACAATCACATCGGTCACACTTGTTAATGAAACGCCGTGAGGAATAAGCCTAATCCTGAGGGGTCATCTAAATAATTTTTTTCATTTTTAATTTTTAAATTATCATAAAAGCTTTAGAGATACGAAAGTATTAAACCAACAAATAATATAATAAAACTATTTTATTTATTTATTTGGTTATATTTTAGGTGCCCTGTTCAGCTATATAGTTTAGAGGCACCTTATTTATTATTGAATTACATATCAATATGGCTGCATGGATCGTGTTTTTTTTTTTTTGTTTTTTTTTTGTTTTTTTTAGATGTGTATGTTGTTAGGATGTTTGTTTAAAGAAGGTATTGTTACAGCTGCATAGATTATTTCTGATTTACGTTCTTAGTTCGTGTATGAAAATTGCAATGTTTAAATATGTCTGTAGTAATTGTGTTTATTTCAGAAATTGAAGTAATTGCTTCTGATTAAAAGTAAAGATACAATTTTGAGTGATATCTTGTTGAAGATCAAATAATACATTCAATATATAAAACTATTTTAATCAATAGAGAATTTCAAACTTACTGATAAGAGTGAAGTCTTGAAGTTCTAACATTAAATTGCTGTTGCAATGACACTACTGCCAACTGTCATAACTATAAAACAACTAAAATACAATATATTATTTAATTAAAGTATCTCAGTTAATATTTTTCTGTGAAATCTATGAAAATCTTTCAATATATATTTACTTAATTTTTTTTTTTTTTATTATTCAAAAAAGTAATTAACGAATTTTTTTTTTAAAAAAGATATTGATTTATTAAGTCACAAAATTGTCTAAAGTAATTTCTTCCATTATAATTGTAATGGTAAGAAAAGTAAAGACACAATTTTGAGTGGTATCATGTTGAAGATCAAATAATACATTCAATATATAAAATAGTAAATGAAGTATGTAAGTCATTATTTTTCTTCCTATACAATATACAATGAATGTATAAAACATCTCATTGCTGAATAAATATGAAAATATATCAAAGCAATTAGAGAGAGATTGTGTAGTGGAGAAAGGCCTTATTCTGCCTTTACCTAGGTTTATAAATAGTTAATATTGCACATGATATTTAAAAACATTGCATAAAGTCAAATAAATATTATTGAAGATGTAATGATTGCCATGACATATCAGTGTACAAAAAAGTAGACAGCTCTTAACTCCAGTAATACTTCTTCATCTGTTTTACTTCTTGTGATTTACATAATCAAATAGTAAGTACCATAGTAAGTACCATAAAATAAATTTTAACCCATCACGCCGAATTGGAACCAGCATAACTAGACTTGAGAATGTTAAAGTTTATACTTTAACATGTTTGGCAATCATGATTCACATGCAGGCGTGTGTGTGTGTGTGTGTGTGCACCTGCATGTGTGTGTGAGTTAATGTGTCAGAACAAGCTTTTTCTTGTCCTACCAGTGCACACCTAATGAAAAAAATAATTCACTAATGTATCATTAACTGCGGGAGAAATTTAAGTGATGTATGCACCAACTGAGTGTAAAGCTCAAGTGACACATTACTACTGTAAATTCAAAAGGTCATATGTAATGTTCTAAGAAGAGCATAAAAACTTATTATTTCTCTATGATTTATTATTACAATTTCATATTTCGTTTCCCTCTGCTATTTCCCATAATATCAGATTACTTATCGCAGTGGCAGAAAACAAAATTTCACCTTTATAATAAAAATGGAAAATTTTTATATACAACATTTTGCACTAATAGTAGCAATATAGATTTTCAACAGATTCAGAAAACATATTGAGAAAGGACCACAAAATGACAACAGGAATTAAAGTTTTTGAAAATTATAATGTTTAATAAAATGTAAGGAAAACGATTTATTAAAATTAATTAAATTCTTTGACAAAGTCTATATGATTACACTATAATAAATTAATTTTTATTAATTTGTAATTTTAGTGACCCCAATAGTTGACATCTATCTATACTGGCTCTACAACCCGCTTAGCAAGTCATGCCCTCCGCCAACAACATCCGCCAGGTGTTCATACTTCATACTTCACCATCCAGTCTCTAACTCCTTGCTTTTTGGCATCTTTGATCACGCTGTCCATCTATCTTTTGGTCTTCCTACTTGTCGCACTCCATGCAGGATTTCAACCAACAACTTCTTTGGGATCATGTCGTCTATCATTCTGGCCACATGACCTGCCCATCTGAGATGGCCTGCTCTAATAAAATTGACAATATTGACCTCATTAAAACACTGGTAGATCTCCTGATTTTTCCTCCTTCTCCACTCTCCATTCACACAAACTAGACCATAAATTCTTCTAGTTGATATACTTTTAAATAAATATTTTCTTTCAGTAATTTTCTTTCTTTTTTTATTCATGATATTTGCAACTGTAATAAAAAGTAAAAATACATATAGTAAATGTCAAATGAATATAATGACATAAAAACACTTTCAGTAAAATAAAATTTACCGTTGAAATACTTCAACATTATTTTATATCATAGTTCGCAGAATTACATACATCCTAAGAACATAGTAAGGAGTTCGTGAATTAATGTAGTCAACAAACCATCTCTTGAAAGATTTTTTTTTTTTCATAGACTGCTCGACTCCAGGTACTTTATTAAATGTTCATAACTACTTAAGTAACGATGAATACAAATCCTAATCAGGCAGGATTTTTATTAAATAAGTTCTTTAAATAAAATTGAAAAGTTGTGGGAGGTAAAGCTAATGCTTAATTAGTTTAACGGACTCCTCTGTAATCGGATCCGCAAAACACATTTTAAGAATCTACGAATGAGTTAATAAAAGAAAAAAAGCAGTAAAAGGCGAACAGAACATTATATAGACAAATATTTTATTTCTTTTACAATAATAAAAATTTCATATAATCCACTTAACATAAACTTCATTCATAACAGCATAAAATTTAATAACAAACTTTTTCTGGCAAAAAATAAAACATAAGTAACAACCACATAATTAAAAATTGATAAAAAATAGCTTATGAAACACTTTTTAAATTAAAAACAAAAATAATTAAATTACCTTTGAAAAAGATACATAAAACTAATGTTATTGTTTCAAATAAATAGATATAATATTTTAACATAATTTACAATATATTAAACAATTTAATGCCTGATTTAAAATTTAAATAAGAGATGAAAATATTTATTATTCATAACCAGCTTTAATTGAGTCTCATCATTCCAGTTTATACCAGGTGGATAGTCGACCAGAGGAAGAAAGAACTGGCAATGAATGATTGAATTTTCCCAAATAATCGATAATTAATACTTTTTAGAATTAATAAAAAACTTTCTTAGAATATGTAATTTTCTTTTTTAGTATTGCACATTTGACTTATGAGAGACTCATTTGATTAATTCATAAAAATATTCACAGAAATAACAAGTAAACAACATTGAAATAAAAAGGCATATATCACAGAGGCCAGGCCACTTGTTCATATGAGCTTACAGATTTGATTTAATTTTTCATCCTAATATCACAATTGGAACTAAGCGTTCCTTCTTAACACTAACTTTATAATAATTTACATAAAGACACTGAGAATGAAATTTGTCTTATTTATAATGCTATGATTGATTAAAGATAAAATTATGTCATGGTACAAATTTCAACAGGATTATAACTTTATGAAAAACCTAAAGAAACATTTTTTTAGTGATGTTCAACATACTTATCAGCTATTTAAATTAACAGCTATTTAAATTAACTTATCATACTTATGGAACATAAATTGTAAAATTTACCTCTATAAACTATTCAAAACTGATATTTAAATCTTATTCCAACTATTTACAAACACCAAATTCATAAAGTTTGGAATGAGATTATAAACATGTTAATTATCACTTAGTGACTGTACAATGGCACAAATTATAACTTTTGATTAACAGTTCATTAATAATTAAAATGGCGTTAAATATAATTGGATTTAAATTTGATTCAAATAATTGATAAAACAGCACTAAACAACTTTGGTGAATGATTGCTTAAAAGGTGATAGTGCATATAACTAGTTAGAAGCACCAATAAACAATATATTTATCTCTCTTATTTGTATTTTTAAAAATATGTACAATGATAATAAATGAAATACAAAAAACAGTGGAAGCACTTATCTTTATATAAAAATATATTTGAAAGATAATCTTTTAATTACTAGAACTACATATAAGACAAGAAAGCAGTAATTTTTTTTTAACATTCACACAAGAGAATCAACAAATTCTTAACCATATTAATGGAATCGAAATTTCTAAATATAACATAATGAAAACCATTAAGAATCTTCCAATCCAGCAACTTCAGTAATTGACACCAACACTAACGCATTTAGTCTTCAGTAACTGAAAAAAAATAAAAAAATCAGTTATTGTTTTGAGTTCAATGAAGAAATTCCAAAAGAGTATTTACTGTGATCAATTTATTAAATAAGAATTGATATAATTGTTTATGATGAAGATAAAATATACGTATTTATCCACCTATCCATGATGTAAATAAATACCTATAAAATAGTATGTTAATAAGTGTTTTGCCAGGTAGCCGGTTTTTATTAAGAGCCAGGCTTACTTGTCTGTATTATTCATAACAGCATTCACTTGATACCCAGTTTATGCAAGTAGTGGCTCACTAATATTTTATGGCTACTCATTAATTAATAACATAATATAAGTATACAAAATTGGTTATTTTGTTTATTTAGAAAATTAAAACTAATTAATTTATTTTATTTATGAAATAAATTAAATTATTGGAACTCAAATTGGAAATGAGTGACATGTTTTTTATTGTGTCATTCTCAGATATTTAACTTTTCAAACTTATCCATTTTCTCAACTTGTTCAGTATTAAAAATTTGAAAATGTAAAGTTAAGTATCGAGAATCGTTTCAATACAAATAAGATAACAGGTGCGCCACACTTTTTTTTAAGTTCAAAGTAGGAACAATAAGCAATAATTGTATTAGAATGAACTGTGCAATCTTTGGAATGGGACAATCATTCAATATAAACATTAAATTGTTCACTGAAATATTCACAGAAGATCAGGACTTTAAAATTTCTCTTTTGCCAACTTTTGGTAAAGAGCAAACATTTTCAATGGAAACAGATAACTTTCACTTCTCTCTACTTCGCAGAAAGAGCATTTTTTTAAAGAAGATATCCTTTAATTAAGAGAAGAATGGTTGGGATGATCAGTCAGAAATAAGAAGGCAAAAATAAATAATAATATTTATTTTGACATTTGCCAACGTTTCGATCTGAAGTTCAGGCCTTCATCAGGGCTAAGAAAAGAACCAGATGACAAGGTATGAGAATGTATGAGAGTTCCATTCCAGCCCTTTATCAGGGTTAAGAAAAGAACGAGATAATAAGATATGAGAAGGTATGAGGGTTCTTTTCTTAGCCCTGATGAAGGCCTGAACTTCAGATCGAAACATCGGCAAATGTCAAAATAAATATTATTATTTATTTTTGCCTTCTTATTTCTGACTGATCACCTCAACCATTCTTCTCTTCATTATTGATGACAGTCAAACATTAACCCACAATTATTTCCTTTAATTATTTTTTCTAGACTTAAGAATTACATAGACTTATCATTCATCTTTTTGTACTTCATACTACATCAATTAATTTAATTTAACACAAATATTTCTTAATATTTGTATATATTAATATTTAGAATTAAAAGAGAAAACTCAATATGAAGAAAATTAAATTTTTTAAACCTTTGTATATATCTGTTTGTTTTAGTGTATTAAAGCTATGTTTTGACAGTTACAAGATTTCACATTCAGACCGATGTTACATGACAATTATAATTCTTAATTACTTTAAAGAAATAAGACTAATTGGAAAGAATAGTATTCTTCGAAAAAGGAAATAAAATGCATATAGCAATTTTTTCTTGGAATTTCTTTCTTCCCTTTTCTTTGTATCTTTTTTTTCTTGCTGACACAAATTCATAACAAAACTATTTAAAATAATAATCAATCAACCTTGCATTCATTATATAAATTGAATGAAACACAAAAATAACCAGAAATAACAAAGTAGTAGAATAAACAAACTGGAAGATATGAGATAAGAACTATGAAATTATAATAAGAAGGATGAATATTCATAACTCATCTACAGAAGAAGTACCTGATCTCTTGATTTTAGTTTCAATATCAGGACACTTCTTTTTATTTAAACAGCTATTTTCGCGAGGATGGTTGGACATATTTTCTTTCAAAAATAAACAAAACTGAATATCCTCTGTGGTTTATTTTTTGAAAAACACCAATTTAACACTAGACGTGAATTTGGAAATAAATATCATTTTGAATTATAAAGAAAACAACTGAGTTTTTATAAGCAGTAATATTTTCATAAAATAATAATCACATTATTATTAACTAAAATTAAGCAAAAAACTATGAAGTCAACATTTTTATATAACTATACATAATCTTAAAGCATCTTTCATACATATCTGTTGCATAAGATCATGTCCAAACTATTTGAACATTCTGACAAAGATGATGAGACCCAAATACCGAGATATCCTAAAGCAGTCAATACTAATATGCAAGTATAATATATATAATATTCCATTCCACTTAGTCTGTCCAAGAATAGTTTCAATGCATATTTCAAATATGTCAATATTTATTGCACTTAACCAGGAGAAAGTTAAAGTTTCACAAGGTAAATGTCCAAAGCCTAAAAAGCAAATTGCGAAGCCTCGATTTTGTAACATTGCATATGAGCCTGTTTCTAATGAGATAAAAATATGATCATGTTTCTTTTGCTTCATGTCAATATTTCCATAATTCTACATCGCAAAAAATTTAAAAACTTAAAATATAATATAGTTTTCTATATTTCTAAAATACTTCATAAAAGTATAATTCACTACTGTAAATTTTTGTTCAGTGACTACTTTTTTTTTTATTTATCACCGTTTAACACATATCATTTTTTAATAGTATTGGGACCCATCCTATGGGCATTTGTATATAAAACGTCCTGGTAAGCATTGCTGTACGTCTTGCTAATTATTCTATAAGCATCTAGATTCAAAACCATGATTGGAAAAGCATCATACTAAGTCAAAACTTATCAAAACATTATGTGTTCTATTCATTGGTATTTGAAAAAGGTTATTTTTTTAGTATGTCTTGCTGAGATCAAAAGTTTCTTGGGAAGAATTTTATGTACAACAAACTCCTATCAATCAGTTCCATATAACTATCAATTATACAGACTAGAACACTAGAAAATATCTTGTATCCAGCATAACAGTTAATAATGTAGATTCTATACTAAAAACTATTTCAGTTTTGTAGAATATCATGGCACAGAAACCACACATTGAACCAATTAACACATATGTAGGTCTGGTTACTACTGTAATATTCTTTGTCATACATTAATCTGCATAATCATGTACTATTAATCTTCTATCCGATATCCTCTTAAGAAGATCCTTTTATTCTTAAAATATCAACAACATAAAACAAAATAGTAAGCCATAAAATAAATATCAATACTTAATTTTAAAAAACTTTGAAATATTTCCAACATAGAATATATATTTTATTTCTATATTTATGTTTTCACTAAAATCGGGTGATTTTTCTTATGCGTTGATAATATAGCAAACATGGCAAATTGGATTGGCTGCATGAAGACTGCAATGGTTCTTTCGTTATCCACAGACCTTCTGAAGTTCTGAGAGAAAATAATTTTGGTGAACAGTTGAACAGCCATCTTCATTTCAAATGCCAAATATTAATGATTACTACATAGAAATATATATATAAATTTATAAATGAACATAAAATAACCATGTCAAGAAATAATTTTTTTTTACGTTAACTAGATATTATTTTTTTAAAAAATTACTTCATAAGCAAAGAATAAATAAATAAGAACATAAGTAAAATATCTAAAAGGGTATTCTTTACTGAATTTTATATTCTTCTTAAACAAAACTATGATCTACCTTAATATATCTTCTATATCTCAAATGAATGCTTAAGACATTTAATTTTCTTTAAAATCTAACGGATATGATGAACCTAGAAAGATGAGAAATTTCTTCATAAAATGATTAGAAAAAGGTGATTAGTAACGCTGAAGGACAGATATTATTTCAAGAACAAAATTGAAAATGTATCCTCAATAACTATGTAAAAATTAGCAGTAACCTTATTTAAGTAACTATAACATATTAAAGAAATTCAGATTGTCACAACTATGATACCATAGCCTTAGATCAAAACGGTGGCAACACAAAAACCGATATTATTTAGTTAACTATTTATTCAAGTTCTAAAAATGAATGTGCTGAAGTTGTTTGTATGAAGACAAAACAGTTCTGTCAATATATTGAAGTAATGAGAGCCTTAGTTACTGATAAATCTGTTTCATTAAACAAACTTCTTTGCATTCATAACCTGAACTAAAAATTGCAAATTTTGGATTAGTAATGTTTTTATTTATTACAACAGAGACAATGTGTCAGTTTTTTATCAGGAAAAATAATTTTTCCATGTTATGAAATAACTTTTACAAAAAACTTTTTCAATCATGAGATGAATGTCAGATTATGAAAATAAAATTCATACTAATAAACAAATGACATCAAGCTACATAAGATTTAGAATATTTTAGTCAGTATTTCAATACTTTCTGTATTTAATATATCTATAAAGTCAGGATTAATAAACAAATTATATTAAAATTTTACCTAAAAGGAGTCCATATACCAGTTAATTCATCTCTTCTATAATAATGAGGCCTATTTTCACGAAAGACGGTCACAGCTGGAAATGGATTTTCTTGAATATACTTTAAAGCAGCACGTATCTAGAAAATAAAGCAATAATTGTCAATTCAAAAAGTTATTGAATTTGTTATGTTGTAACAATACATTAAAGGAATAAATATGTTGTAATACATCTAGGTATGATAATTATTTTTCAAAATGCATTTTAATTGTATATACTCAGAACGGCTTTCACATGATTAGATTTAGAGACATGTGAAGGAGAGAAATTCATGAAGTGACAGTTATAATGTAGACTTTAAACACTTTAGTTCTGTAACCTGGAGCTAAACAACACCATGTCTATTTTTTCAGGGGAATTGTTCCATAACTTCGAAGTATTAAAATTTGTTTCTTAGTAACTAAATCTGTACTCCAAAGGTAAAGGACACCATGTTGCATTTTGTGTCTGTTGAGGAAGCCGATTTTTCATAAATTTGAGGTATTAAAATTTGCTTCTTAGTTAATAAATAAAATGGACATGGTGTTCTTTAACTCCAGGATACAGATTTAATCCTCCGAGTGATATAGACTCTTTTACAACTTCACACATTTCTAATTTTTTAAATAACATTTGAAGAAATCATTTGACATCAATGATATACATTGAATTTTATGATACATGAAACTATCTGAATAATTTTAAAAAAATTAACCAAAAATGCTAGTAATTTTTTCAATAAATATACACGTTTTTCTATCTCAAAAATATGACTAAGGTGATCTGTTTTGGGAACTCCACAGTATCAGACATGACTTTCTACTGTTTATTCATTTACAGTAAATTTACAAAAAAAAAAAAAAACACTTCTTTAAAAAAATATTTTTCAGAGCATACAAGTATATATCAACTTTCAAAGCAATTAAAAAATTTCTTAAAATAAAAGTGAGGAAAGGAAAGTTAGCAAGACCGAAAAATACAGACCAAAGTTTTTTCTAATATATTAAACATTTAAATATGTTAAATTAAGTGGAAGTAAAAGCTAACCTGCATAGTGAAATGAGGTGGTTCTACTTGAGGAGAAGTAGAAAGATGCTGCAGAATGATATCATCGGACTGTTCTAGCCACAGATCTACTCCTCGTAATGGCTGATAGCTAAACGGGCCAATCCTCAACAAACCGAGCCCACAGTCATAGACATCCAACATGGTCTATAAAGAAATATTTCATTAAGTTAAAATTAAAAACTGCAAAACTTTACTATCCAAATAAAATTGAAATAACCAAAAATATTACAAATATGTTCGTAAAAAAAAAAATAAAATACAGAAGTTAACAGAAAAAAACAAAACAAATAACTCAGTTGAACATTTAAAAAGTTCTTTTTTTCTCTCAGGAGTAATTTTGTTAGTTTCTTATGTATTTTGGATGGCCTCAGAGTTCCAATATCAGCCTTACTTACAAATACAGATAGGAGATCAGTAAGTAATTGCATAGGAAAAACTAAAACAATACTTAAGAATTTCAGAATAAATTACTCCCACTTCTTAGCAAAATGAAAATGTAATCTATGGAACCTTAGTGATTTGAAAATATTAGAAAATAATTATTTATTTTATGGAGAAAATTCTGAGGTTCAACAGTGTAATTCTTTTTTTTTTTTCTGTTAATTTCAACACTTATATACAGATTAACTTGAAGATAACTAAATAAAAAATAAATGCTATAAAATTGATTCAATGATAAAAGCAAAGCTTACAGACTGACTCGTGGAAAGATGCCTGGCAGTTCTTAAACTCTGTTCAGGTCCTTTATCTGGAAATGTTGCTGGAAATAACTCTCCAGTTTTGACATTGAAGCCAACACCATATATAATTGGTGCATGAATACCATTTCTCACAACAGTGTTCACATCACTAATACAGGCTGTGATCAGTTCTATTTCAATAGGTTGTTTGTGAAAGACATCTAAAACAAAAAATTGAAGAATTATTGTTCTAAAATATTAATAAAATTATTAATGTGGCAGCAAAATTTGGCTAATAAAGTCATCAATACAAGGCCTAATGGTATGTTAACAGTAATACTAAAAATAAACAGAGAATGAGAGAATGAAAAGAAAGAAATAAACACAAGTAATAGAAAAGTTTGCTACATTCGATGTCCACTTATGTTTGCAAAGAGACAGAAAAATTAAGTTTTTCATCAGCCTTCCAGTGTGATAATGAAAATTGACCAAGGTGATATATAATTGTCAAATAGAATAAGGAAAAAAGAAGACAAATGTTAATAACACGCAGAAGTGAAAAAGGAGATGACTCTGATGATGGACAAAGAGTCCGAAACGTTAGACAGATATATCTAGATAAATAAGAATTATTTAGAATAAACTGAATAGTTTTCATTAGAGAAATGGAGAAAAGTTTTCATATCTTATACTTAAATTAAAAATTCCAGATGCGATAAAAGTGAAAGTACAAACAAGAAAAAATAAATATATTTATTTATTTCCCAACTCCAAAGCTGTCATAATTTAAAGGTTAACGGATCGTCCTATTTTATACTCGTTATTTATCCTCTATAAAATGTATAACTGTTTCTTCTTCTGTTTGTTTGTTCTTAATTGGAGTAAAACTTGGTGGTTAAGTGTGGTTGTTTGTAAAACTCTTTGTAAAAACCATTGGTTAAGAAACAGCACAACCTTTTTTTTCTTTTTTTTTTTTTTTTTTAATATATATAAATCAGAACAACTGAAATCTGATAAGAAATTACAAGATACTAATATTTTTCTATTAATTATCCAAAGTTTTATCTTAATACTTACGAAGTATACTATAGAATAGTTCTTCTGTATAATTGTTTGCATCTAAGTAGCCTCCAACGAGCTGTAGTTGCATTCTTCCTTCTGGATAGCCCAGCGCAAGCTCTTGTATCCTTGAGATTAAGGTAACCAATCCTTCTTCTGTACCAGCACCATCGCAATGAGCTAATCCAACAGCTCCGCTAGCTGTGATCAGTTTAAAAACAAATCAAATCAGACTCTACAACAAATCAGCAAATAACTGCTATACAATAGCAGCATTATTTTTATTATAAATAATAGTTATTAAAATATAAATTACAAAATGCTATATTACTTTGAATCTTTCTGAAAAGTTGACTTATTCTCTGAAATTGTTATTTTGTTACCTTAAAAAAAATTATTCACTGTGGATCTATAAGAATAATTTTTGGAAGGGAACTGTGACACTAATTAATTGTTTTTCAATACTCCTTAATCGTAATAATAAAAGGCTAATTGAACCTAAAAGGTTAGAAGCCAGTACTTACAATCACATATCTCCACCTACCAACTACCATTTGTCTTTATTTTTATCTTTATATTTGTATCTAGTTTTTTATCAACATTTCTTCTAAAAGCTCAAAAATGTCCTTCAAAATGGAAAGAAATTTTCTAGTCTTCCTTGGGCTCATTGTATAATGCTCTAAGAAAATTATGATAGAGCTTAAACCTTATAGAAATAAAGGAATTAATAGGTTTGGTTTTCTGACAGGATGATATATTAAAAGGATATATTAAAGACCCTTGCTGCCATTTCTTATGTGTGAGGGCATAGCAGATGGAGATATAGTGGTATAGCAGATACACTGCCAGCAGCAAAACATAATGTCATCAAATGAGAATCAATTGTAAAACTGAGTTGTACAACTTACAGACATCTTCACTGTATAACAAAATAGGCTTCATGAAACGACTTATAAAGGCTTTTAATCAAGATTCTAATTAAATTTTCCAATATATAATATAATTTTTTTTTTTCAAAATTTATCCAAAGCAAAAGTGAAATTAGGTATTTTATACAAAGAAAATAACACCCAGTGACGAATGTACACACTCCACAGCCATAAAGCAACAGCTCGGGCTCTTTCAGAAACAACAAAGCTGAGAATTGTAAAAAAAAAAAAAATTGAAACTATGCTTGAGCTTTAAATGCATAGGCTACAGAATACTTTCTAACAGTGCATATGTTCACTTGAGTGTAATAATTATGCAGGTACTGAAACAGAAAAACTAGGGAGAATGGTTTCATCAAGATGGGAGATTACATTTGGAACTTGATTCAAGAATGTTCATACAGAAAAAAATATTCAGATAAAATACAGAAAATATTCATTATTAAAATTTGTTAATTAATTCTTTAATATTATCTGTTTACCACTAACTAATACTTTTTAATAAAAATAATTATAATTCAACCTATATTTAATCAAATTATTACTAACAAAAAAATCCAAAATATACTTTTACATTTCTGCAAAGACAAAATTTATCAGCTAAAACTATTTTTTCGTATATTAATTATGTTGAAGAAATCAAAATTGGACATCTAAAACTTAGACTCAAAACTCATATACAGTGGCTCACAGTCAAAATGATACACCTTGATATTGGTGGAAATTATTGAATAAATAAACACTTCAATTTTTATTACATTAAAAACAATAATTTATTCTAATCAATAAACATCCTACTAAAGTGTTATTTCCTTATGTTGTTATGTATTTTTTTTTTTTGCATTAACATTTTTTTGGCAAAACGGCAAAAATAAAAAAAAAATTTTAAAAAGACTGCGTCCTGAATATTTATCACCCATGGTATGTAGAATAGTTGACTAACTTCCTTCAAGTATTATGTTTTTTCTAATGTTGTTTCTTGGTGTGGGGATATGCGGCAGCTTCTGGTGTAGGAAATCTTCACTTTATAGTAGAAATATTCACATGGTATAGTGAATTCATATGCTTACATAGGCATTTTTAGAAGAAATTTGAAAGGAACTGAGCAAAATTTAGGCTAAAAAACAAATTTTGTTTTTATCAGGATAATAAAACCAAACAATCTGCCATGTTAGTTAAGGAATGCCTACTTTATAACTGCCATTAAGTTATAAAAACATCACTACAGTCACCAGATTCTAATGTGATAGAACATCTGTGGGAAAAATTGGAGGTAGAAATTAGAAAACATGTAAATTTCTAGCAAAGAAGACTTTAACAAAATTTCCTCGGCGAATGGAACACGCTAAGCACGGAATCATATCACCAAAATATTGGTCAAATCCATTGCAAACAGACTGAAAGGAGTGGTAGAAAATAATGGCTTGCCTTGAAGGTATTGAACTAAAATAATAGTATTTAGTTAATAAGAAGTATGCACGTATCATTTTGATTCTGAGATAAAATTATCCAGTTTTTTTATTAATATTTCAAATTATCATAGCTCAATATTTTAATTTTATAGAGTTTGTAAATATTTTTTCTAACTATTTATTTAAGATATTTACAACTGTATTACAATATAGATATATCAAGTGAATTTGCACACAGGAATAAAATCACATGAAAACGCTTGTTGAGAAACTACCCACTGGTTGCACTCTAACAATATTTCTATATAAGGAGATCACGAGGCCATCTTCTTTCCAGACGCCTCGGAGGTGTAAATATTTAAAATGAGATTATAAATAAATCTGTTGAAGAGTGTCAAGTTTTATTTATTTACTGTAACCATTTAAGTCTTTTTTCAATTTTTCTATGGGGTATATCAATTTCACCGTGAGACACTGTAAGTTGGTGTAATTAATGAAACAATTATCAGTAGATGAAAAAAAATCAAGCTATACTGATATCAATGAAACATTTTGGATAAGCTTAAATCAGTAATAATAAGGGTGACAATTTTAAGAACGTTTTTAACCCACAAATTTACTTGTTGGTTGATGTATGGGCTTCAAGGGGCCACCTGTCATTATAAGCCCTTTCAGCTATAATTTATGTACCCTAAAGTAAACAGAAAGACCCTTCATAAACCCTAATTTAATGTATACAGTAATCCCTAATACCAATGGGAACCAGTGGGAAATCCATGGGTAGATTAAGATATCTTCTAATCCAGTTCTGCATAATACCCCTTGGAACAACAGGATTATAACCCCTTGGAACAATAAAATTTAACCATTTGGTTTTCCTCATGAAATGTTTCAAAGCTTTGACACCCCAAATGTATTAAATTATGAGAACAAAAAAACATTGACTGATAGAATATTCATATAATTTATAAAATAATTAAGTAAATTTATTTTTTCAAAATATAAAAAAAAAATACTTTGCTATATTTTTATATCAAGGGTAAAACTAAACCACTTAATATCATTACTGCCTTATCAACTTTTTCACTACATGTTTATACAACCATGGAGATTTCATGTAGTTCCATTATTTAAAAAAGTTATTAACATTCTATGGCAAGATTATTTCAATCACAAAGGCAGCAATAATAAAATAAAAAACAAAAATTACTCATTAAAACAAAAAAAAAAAGTTAAGGCACTGAATTTATGAGGCATTGACAGATTAGATCTCTATCACTAACTCTGGTGTTCAAGAACGTTTCTAGATCAAAGAACTGCATTAAAATTTTAAATGACACAGCGAACATGGATAAGGAAATTTAAATGCAGAATAAAACATTAAAATGCAAATATTCAGTTGATAGAAAAAAAAATTAAATTTAAAACAGTTGTCTTAATTTCAGTTAAAAAAAAAAAAATGCATAATACAAATCAAATCTCCTATTATATACAAATTCCTCGTACTATAGACATCTTGTTACTTTCATTTACTTATGAATATGTAAAATATATAGGAAGTAAAATAAATGAAAAATACTTTTTCAGATCCCCTGAGTCCAAACAACCAAGTATAACAAAACGGAATATGTGTCAGTCTGCATATCAACATCCTACCTTAAAATGGAAAAGTCATACGAAAATATTTAAGGTATATATGCCTGAAAAGTTGCAGCAAATTTTTCACCAAAATTGACTAACCAGTGATTAAATGGTACTTTTATATCTTCGATACAAATGCCAAATATAAAATATGAAAAATAGCCTGTTTTTTCAATTCTTCATTCTAGCAATGTTAAATGTAATCAAATATTTTTAAATAAGGAATACAAAATCTTCAAAAATTCATTAAATCAGATATTAATTTTATGAAAATTAAAATAGCCTCGTTGTTTGGGCTAAATTGACAATAATATTATAGTGGTGATTTCCAGATTCAATAGTTAGCATTTGTATCAATGATATCATTGATTTCACATATTTTTACAATTATCTCAAAAATGGCTCTAACGATTTTGATTAAGTTCAAATCAATGCAGTCTTTAATATCAGATAGGTATTATTCTCATTTAAATAGCCTGGCGGCTTGAATACCGATTTTTAAAAAAATCTTTCACCAAATTAACTTTAATTTTATTTATTTAACATTATTAACCGTTTCAGAACATCACTAGAGATGAAAAATATAATGTTAAATATACACTACAATAGAATTTGATAATTAACTAAAGGAGAAATAAAAGGTAGTCGCTGAGATAAAATTAAAAATAAATAAAATAGATAATTATATCCGAATGTAACACAAGCATAATTTCGAGAGCCAAGTTGCAAAAAGGGCCAAGTCTGTGCCTAAGCCTAAGCAAATACCTATTTATTGTTTATTGAGAAATATTACAATCTGTCTTAAAGGACATTTATAATAGCGTTCAAAGATCACATTCACACTCTATTTAAGCAGATACTAAAATAATTTGTAAGGCTAATAAATCGGGTATGTTTTTTTATTTTACCGACCAGATTTTTCATAAATACCTATTTATTGTTTATTGAGAAGTATTACAATCTGTCTTAAAGGTCATTTATAATAGTGTTCAGATATCACATTCACACTCTACATAACCAAATATTAAAGCAAATAATTTGTAAGGCTAATAAATCGTGTGTGTTTTTTTATTTTACCGACCAGATTTTTCATTCAATGTTTAATGTATGTTTAAGGCACAGAGACAAAGTAATTTGTTTGTGTTTCTGAATATGCACGAGACCAAGATTGACCAGAAAATATCAAAACCGCACTTTCTGATAAAATTATTTTTACAGGCAGTACGGCTGTCGATAAACTATATCGTAGGTGGGAAACGGCGCGGTCCCTGATAATATTTGTGAGGTTTTCATAACTGATAGCTCTACTTTTAATTAATATTTAACTCCATATATTACCGCCAATATGAAATTTGCGCGGTAAACCTTCTTGGGTAAAAAATAAAATACCCTCAGTCGGACTAAAAAAAAAATTGGTACGGAGAAGTGTCGTAACGTTAGCAACCTCGATCTGGAGTGAGAGATTCGAATCCGGCTTCGACATGTTGAAATTTGTTTCGTAGAGCAAATCCACAAAATGAATCTCTACCTTTCCACTCTGGTTAAAATAGATTGTTTCTCTATTAGATAACCTCCTTCCAACCTCCCAAAATGAACAGTTACAAAGTAAAAAAAAAGTTACGAAAAACGCATAAATTTAATAGATTAGATGAGTGAGAAAATACACGATAAATTTTATTAAATATATAAATATAATTTTTACTTCCATATATTTCTACATAAAGTAGGATAGTAAAAGAAAGTTGAACTTTTTTTTCCTTCGTATAAGGGATAATAATAATATATTGGAACTTATTTTCAACGTAAATAAAATTTTATTACCAAAAATAGATTAAAATATAGTACAATAATTTGTTAAGTTGTTACTTCTATCCTACTACGACTAAAATCGGAAAAACTTCTTTAAGTTATTCATGTAGGTACGCCTTTTATTATATATATATATATATATATATATATATATATATATATATATATATATATATATATATTCTCATTTTCAATATTATTAGGACAAGATCTATGTGTAATTTAAAAAAAAAAAAAACCTTTTTCCTTTTTAGACCAAAATAACTTAGATTTCATCCTAGGTAACGATTTCATGAGAAATTCAAAAGAATATTAAATTTTAGATAATCTCATTAACGGCTAAAAACAAATTATATTATTTAACAAAAAGTTCATTTATGATTTAAATAAAAATGAATTTGTTGTCCCATTTTCTTAATTATTATAATAATATTACCACTGCTATAGTTGTAAAATTCAATTTCAGTTATTTTCCAGTTCTTTAATTCAACCACATTTTTATTTTAAAAGTTAGTTCATTTTCGTCTTGAATAGTAAGATGGGGGTGTTCCTCTAAATACAACGGAACTGTTTTTGTTTTTTTGTAAACATAAATTAGTTAAGTGAATGGTTTTGCAAGGAAAATCATGGACAGGAAACTTAAAAAAAGAAAATATCTCATTCAATACATAAAATAAATAAAAAATCAGCAACCTAAGTTAAAAAAAAATCTCCAATTCGTTCTCAAGCGCTTATAAATACCTTCCCATCAACAAAAAAAGATGTGTATAATTCACTAGTATAGAAAATGTAGATGATCCCTGAGAAAATAGATATATCTAATTTCAAGAACAGTTTTGGTTAAACATATGGTTTACATTATATTTTTCCTGAAAAAAAAAACTTTTAAAATATTAAGCAAGAATATTTAGTGTTTTTTTTTTTCGTCTCAAAATTATACTACATTTAAAATTCAAAAAATCTTTTAATTAAAATCAAGAAGCCGAAAATCAATTTTAAAGTCTCGATAAATAGCCGAAAAGTATTAGTGATATAATATAATAAAACCGGCGGAGGTCGAACAAATTTGTTTTTTTATTCCATTTATACGTATCATGAAACGTAAAACCTCAAAATTTGAGGTGTAAAGTTTTTGAATTTTTTGGATGAAGACAATGGTTCATTAATTAAATAATAAACCAAAAACATAACAACTGTTTAGATACATGATTCAACATATTAAAGTAGATAAATATGATAATAAAAATAGCCGAAGAGTATAATATTAAAGGTTTATATTTATACCGGATTTAGGAAATATAAAAGATAATATAATTTTTTATTTAAGCATGTGGAACGATTTTTTTCACGAAAAAGTTACAGATGAGATAATTCGAGATATAGGAAATAATAAACCATATCGTAAGGCAGTTATCGCCGCTCTACGGATCGCACCATACATCATTTTTTTCTTCTTTTTTTTTAAGAACTGATAATTCCATCAGATAAGAACTCGACATATATTTCATTAAATAGGAAAACAGAAAAAATAAGAAGATAAGAACAGAACCTCGTTAAGAAAGGAATAATGAATCACACGATCAAAACGTCTAAGCACAAAAACATTATTTGTAATATAACAGCCGTCACAATTATTATTATTAAAAGTTGCAGCATTTCAAAGTAATAGTAAATACATTGATAAATAAAGGAATTTAAATACCGTATTTATACTAATGTGGTCTTTTCGAAATAAATATAGTTTATTAAAAAAAAAATAGAATGAAACTCACATAAATAAATTTACAAGATAACATACTACATGAGTGGGTTATTTTCAAAGTGAACTGTAATCCATTTTTGTGAACAATTAGATACTTATCGATTGCCATGTAAAAATATCCTTTGAATCCAATGGTGCGATATTTTTTTTTTTTTTTGTTTAAATGAACCTAAATATTCATAGAACTGGTTCGAAAATAAGTTTCTAACCGAACTTATTCATTATTCAAAAGAAAATTAAAATAAATTTATTTTATTGAAGCATTATTGTTAACAATTTTTTTTTGTTATGTTAATTTTTATAACTGTTTCCTCCAGCATCATACACCATTTTTCACTCTAAACTCAACCTCAATCAACATTTTTGTCCAAAAACGGACTTCGAATTACTTTCCAAAAGGGATTCTATTCAAGTTTAGATGTTTTTTTATTGAAATAATCAGAGATTTTCGAAGAAATGTGCTATAAACAAAGAATATCTTAAATAATTATTTCAAATTTATTGGTTTTTGGCAATACAATCGGTGTACAAAACATAGTTTTTCATGTTTCCTTCATGTGAAGTATTAAAATTACATTCATTAAAATGAAATGAAATTATAAATTTTATAACCATTAAAAATTCATTAGACATAAATAATATATCAGAAAAATAAACACGAAAACAATAATTACTTACTGGTATGCCTAAGAATCAGGATGATACAGGTCGTAGCATCTTCAGAACCCAATATACTGACATTTTCTGAAACATAATTTTAAAATTAGGTTATTTCACTAAATGAAAATGATTAGTTTAGTTTATCATTTATAATGTCTTAATATAGTATTTCTAATATCTAATAATACATCACTAAAGTCTAATGAATAATAATATATTGGGTAGACCATAAATATACCAAAAAATATTGATCTCATTAGTGCGATTCACAAGTGGGACCAAGGTGAAACAAACATTAAAAGTAAAATTTTTAAAACCTAAAAAAACTCTAATTGTCTATTGCACTTGATAAAGTCAAATCCCTGCGACCGCAGAGGTCGAAAATTTGGACTTTGCATCTCAGTTCCAGCTAATGTAAGAAAACAACCAGAAATCTTCTACTATCAATTGATGCAACTAACGATGTATAAGGTTACTGGACGATTGTTTTGTTATTCCTTTATTTTTACAGACAAAATACTAGAAATTTATAGATACCTCGATCAGAACGTCTCGCAAAAATTGAAAATATACAAAAATAAAGAAGAACTATCCTTAAGATTTTTTTATTATTCAGCTATAAAAAAAAAAGTTCCATCAGTGTATAATTATTATTTCCGATCGGTTTATTGGTTGTGAAGTTATATTATAAATATATTTACTATGTACCATTTTTTATGTTTATGCCTAAAGAATTTCATAAATGCAGTACAGATAAAATATGTGGGGAGGGGGATTTGATTGAATGAATGAAGACGTAATTATATATATATATATATATATATATATATATATATATTCATTATCATCCTTCTCAAGAAATTTTTATTTCATGCGTTTCAAACAGTGAAGGCTTTATTGGAGACTTCTTGTTCATAGGAACTTTGTCATTAAGCATGAAATTTTCTATAGGGATACTTAGTCAGAGGCATTTTTCTTCTTAAAAGACTATTTCGATACCACTGTGCTGAAGAGAGGAATAACGGAGTTTTTAAAAAAATATTTAAAAATAACGAGTCATGTGATTCAGATTTTATTAATGAAGAAGGTGTAGAAATTTATAAGTATGGATTTTACACTTCAACAGAAGACTAGGAACGCATAACGATTTGTTTAGTTTGTCAAGCATTGGTATAGAAACTACCTTTTCTATTCGGTAGTATGAAGTCATAGCTACTTTAGAACTATTTAAATTTGTAAAAAGCGAAGAATTGTACTAAATTAAGGACGAATCCCATTTTTTTTTTCAGATAGCTAAAAGACGGAAATTCCTAAAAATAGTATGATTTTATATTCACAACCAGAATTGATACGTTAAACTTTAAATATAATGTGAAACATCCATAGATATATTAGATTGTATCTTGCAAAACTAATTATAGAATAATATTTCCAATGACGGGTTCTATTAAATAGATAACCTTTTCATGAGTATTGCATTTAACTACGTTCATTTTGGTCAGACCGAATGGCAGCTATTAACTCTACACCAGCTCTATAATTTTAGGAAATAAATCAAAATAAAAAGCTACGTTTATAGATAAAATCATAGCGTTGTGTTTTTCTTTATGATTACTAAATTACTCGAAATATATATGTATATATTTTTTTTGTTATGTAAAGCTATTAAAATGAAATAAACGAATTTATAGTCTTAGATATAAATCTCACTTTCACTTTTCAGTTGAGAAAATCTAAAAAACAACAACAATGACAGGTATATTATATTTTCGTTCGGCTATACATCATAAAATAAATAAGTGCGAGGAGCAAAGCTCCATCAAAGAGGTCTTTTATTATAATTTGTTTAAAGGAAAACAAACTATTAGTGATTTAGCTGTTTAATGCTTATCTCAGGAAATTGGATAACATAAATTCAACAACTTTATTTATTTATATCATCCTCATACCGGACTGAAACGACAAGAAACCGCTCGACGTATCCGACTACTTCGGCACTTACTATACAAACTCTTTAACTGTTCAATTAATTACAAAACACTCATATACATGACTACAATAAGACCTATTTGGACTTACGGAGTTGAGCTTTGGGGCACCACTAAACCATCGAATTCCTCTCGTATCCAATCTTTACATTCCAAAATCCTTCTTAAAATCCTTAATGCTCCTTACTTTTTAAAAAATAAAATAATCCATAATGATCTGAATGTTTCAGATGTGGCCCAATCCAGATACCTATCATTCCATAATAAACTTCAGAACCATCCTAATCCTCTCGTTTCTAACATTGCTTCCTCCTCGATCCCTGATAACCCACATAGGCGTCTGAAAAATAAGATGGCCTCGTGATCTCCTAATTTAGAACTTTATTAGAGTGCTACCAATGGATAGATTCTTTACAAGCCTTGTCATGCCATGTACTTATCAGTACGATATTTGCTCAATGTATATTAAATGTACAGTTGAAAATTTTATAAATAAGAAATTTTAAAAAAAGTGGTGGTAAAATAGTGAGAGAAAAAAGATGATCTTAAAAAAACACTTTTATATCTCACTCAATTTCTCCCTATGAGGAGGTAGAGGTAGTTGAAAACTACAATAGACGCTTCAACACCTACTTAATTTACTAAAAATATTTAAAAAATATAATTTTATTTGGAGCGGCTGTGGAGATGTTCAACACAGTGAAAGCAGGGGAAAATAACTTGGACAAGGTGAAATGTAGACGAACTGAACCAAAACTTTTATGACGTTGTTCAACACAGAAAATAGCATTTAATGTCGAATGCCAAAGGGTAAATATATATATATATAAATAGTGCTCCTGCTGACGCTGAGCAGGCATAATCCATGAATCTAGCCTGATTTGTTACTGTCCTTGAACCTGACGAGTGAGCCGGTGGGATCAACACTGATAGATTGGTCCCAAATGGATCGGATATGGAGCTGTACTCTAAGGAGCCGATAGTCCGTAGTAACGTAAAGTAACCCGCTCCAGGCTATCTACGCTTCATACTTACATATTATATCTCATGTTCCAAATTCATAAAAAACAACCGCCATCCGAAGACCTTCTCATTATTTTTGGAAAAATACTACAATATAATTTTCATTTTAGTTACATTTGCTAAACAAGTATACATGTAAAGCAGGCCCATCAATATCTAAGTCGTGTCGAATAAATAATTGACGAATAATTTATAAGTATATTTTAAATTAGGCAATATAAATTTCTTTTATAATTAAATTTTGTATTCAAACGGTAATAATTTAGCAAATAATCAAATTTAAAAAAAATATATACATCTGTAATTTTCCAGGTTTAATAGTGTTGGCCTTAGACATTTGGCTTCTCGGACGATGGCGTTATATTCCCCTAAAAAAATTATTTATCAAGCTATTTTATATTATGTAATCTTTGAATTTTATTTCGTTAAATATTTTTCTGATATAGTTGATTTATTAATTTGCTGAAATTAATTATTTTAATACGTTTTGTATATACTCGGCCCTTAAGGCTGGCATTGAGGATAAAGAGATATATTTATAATAGTAATATGGAAATAAATGCTAGAAACGGGAGTTGCTCGTTAGCACGCACAAATTTAATAAGTTGATTAACCTTGGCAGTTTTATATTCGAAATTCCTTTACTGATTACTAAATGATTAGTTTTTTCTTAATTACTACTTGCTTTTTATCCTTTTGGGTATTGTCACTATTCGGAGAAATTTAAAGGGTTTAAACTATTCTATAACATATTATCTTATAAAATCAGAGATAAATAAAAAATAAATTTAGCTTTATATATTAAGGTAAATACAATTCTTTAGATTAAGAACAAAATAGATTTATAAATATTTATATTCATACATAAAGTTTTATATTTATATATTATAAATCCATGACAAAGTATACAATAAAAGTAGGTAAGAAAGAATCATCGTTATACCGTTGGTCCCTGAGGTGTAAAATAAAAACGATGAAGAGAATTACTTAAAATAACCGAACCAATTGGATAACGGTTCCCAGTTTAAATAATGATCTCACCATATAAAATAACTCACAGGCACATCTCTATCATATACTGAGACAGCTATATGCTATATATTATACCCTTAATGTATATTTTCTAATCTTCGGAGGAGGACATGATGAGGTTCATTAATCAAAAAGGAGTTGCAATAGTGAATGGAATATAGGAACTGTTCCCCGGGTAGCGATGACTAATAATACCTACATTGAGCGCTAAGTGGTCATTTAGAGAGGTAGGGATTGCTTAAAGTGGTCCTTCGTTCCAGAGGCAAATGGCAATTGGTTGGGCAATTCTCTCTTCTTTAAATCACTTTTAACTCGTTATAGGAGAACCCGTTATTATTTTAAAGGTCGCAGATAAGATATGTCATCGAATCATCGCTAATAATAGGTTTTGAAACGTTTGAATACGTTATTTTAAACTGAAGAAGCGTCATATTAATAATAATAATAATACGAGACCCGACGATGATAAGAAAGTGGCCAGAGTTTAGACATCGGCTTTCACTACGGTAAATAAGTTAAGTTTAGTAACATTTCAAACAAGTACTACAATCACGATTAATATCCATCAGTTCGACGTTTCGCCAATTCAAGAATCATCAGTTTAATCATATTCTCTAATGAATGAGTTTTGATGATTTATATGTTGCGGAATTCCAAGTGGTTGGTAACAGAAAGCCATAATTAAGACTGGACTACTTGAGAGATACAGCATGACGCTGATTCTATAGGACCTCGATGGACCTAGACCGAAGCTTCTTGGTTCTGTTAGTCTTATTTCTTATTTCTGCTCTTAAACTGATTCAATAGTTTATTTTATTTTATTATTTGGGTTTTATACAACTCAAGGAGTCATATCCCCAACACCCAAAAGCCACTGCTCCCTGTCCATCCAATCTCCCTCACGAAGCCCTCTGGCTGCCATGCTTTCCTCCACGTCCTCTATCCATTTCTTCTTTGGCCTTCCACGCTTCCTTCTTTCAGGTGGCATATAGTTATAAATTTTCTTTGGCCAGCGGTTCTCATCCATCCGCATTAAGTGGCCATACCACTTTAACCGTTTGGTCCCGATCAGGTGAAGGATGTTCTTTTGACATCCGACCTTGTCTCTAATTGCTGCGTTTGGGATCCGCTCGATTCTGGATATGCCACAGCTTCTTCTCCAGAAATCCATTTCCATGGAAAGCAACTTATTTTCCATCTTTTTTTTGGTACCTGGAATGTTCATTCAATAGTTTTTTTTATTTTAGAGTGGTCAATGATTCGTGAGGAGTGCTACTCCCCTCCTCCCTTTTCCTCCGGTACACTTAGGGGTGAGGTGAGAAGAGAGTCTGCCTCCATTTAAGACGAAAGCTGCGTACACCCTTGTTCACACTTCTTTTATGCCAAGTTAAGCAGCTCTATTAAATTTCTCTATCAGGTAATATATGGTGTGGAAATAAAGTTGAAGAGAATGATTTACTCATGTTAGAAATAAAAAAGTTAAGTTAGTAAGAAATACGAAAAAGGGGTTTCATACATGATAACAGATTTAAAAAATAAAACAGTTTTATTAGAAGGATACACTAATTGGCAAGCTTAAATTTTTCATTTGAGAGATTAAAAAAAAGTTGACAAAAAATGAATAATCTATAAGAAAACTGTAAAACCTAATTTTTTTAACATCAAAAGCTGCCATCTTCCAGTCCAAAGTCCTATGAACAAAAGTGAGCGCTCCATTATATGTAACCAGCAATACCCTAAGCTATGACCTCAACATCCAATTTGTCCTGAACTTCATCCGAGAAAAATTCTCTAAATTTCCACAAAATCTTAAATATCATCCAATTGATCTTGCACGATCCCTATCTAGTTCCAACGATCTCTAAAATCCTTTTCGAAGGATGAAGCGGTAGTGGCCAGATTCTTCAGTAAAGAGAGCATGAAAAAGGGATAGTGCAAGCCCTCCGCAGGAAGAGGGACAAACCTGGTTCAGAGATTTCTGGATTATTTGTAAATAATTTATATAAACCTATTATATAGACCAACTGTGTGTTATGTTGTTACTTTACTTTAGTTATCATTAATTCAATTTATTCTAAATTCTTGTTGATTATTATTTTTCTTATATTTATACACACACACACATAAATATATATGGTGTGGATGATATATTTTCTCTTTATAACCATTATCCGTATTATGACAGAACGTTATTTTACTCCATAGAATACTTTAAAATTAGAATGTAAATAGATCAAAACTATAGGATGATTTGAGAGTTCGTAACATTTTAAATAACAAGGCACAAAGAATGCAATGTTATCGAAGATCAGGATGAAGCCACTCTTGAGGTTCTTGCAAATGAGAGGTAAATACGAAAACATATATTGGTTTGTTCGTTTAGATTAACTAAGATAAAACTTCCATTTTTGGGCATCCTTAAGAAAACTTTAAAATGTGTTCGTTCCATTTTCAATCGCGTGGATACTTGGTTCAACAAATTCGGTCAAGTTAAGTCAGTAGAGCTCAAATTTCAAAATATATATTTGAAACTGTCTTTCATTTATATTTTTTATAGTAAAACAGAAAAATGTAAAAATATCCGTATGCGTCAGTTGCCGCCACCATTTTTCCTGATTTCAGCACCCTGAATAACCAGTTGTCTGTGTCACCCAATTTTCAAAAATCTAAAGAATTAAATCTGGCAGCCGTCAGAATGGAAGAAATACAATGATATTGTACAGGAATTTGTGTTTCTCGCCAAAAGCGTAATTTGTGGGTTCTTTGAGGTGCTAAATACAAATCTGAACTCTGCTTATCCATAAAAAAAATGTCCGAGTTGTTGGCAAATAAAAATTCTTTTTTTTCTTTCATAACATTAGCCAGTGAACATTCAGGAGAATGTGATTATGGTTTTTCAAGCCTCCACGTCCTTTTCATGCAACACCTGTCGGGTTAATATACAGCGAATTTTTAGACCAATAAAACTTTTTTTTTTGTTAATTTAATGAAATTTACAACTGTATACAAATACAACTAGTAAATATGCGCAAATTATAAATAATGGCATGTACAGGCTTGAAGAGATACTATCCAGTGGTAGCAATTCCTAAATAATTTTAAGTAAGAAGATCACGAGGCCATCTCCTTTTCAGACGCCTAGGAGGATTATCAGGGATCGAGGAAGAAGGAAGAGTGGAAACAAGCGGATTTGGATGGGACTGAAGTTTATCATGAAAGGAGATATATCTGGCTCGAGCTAAATCAGCGACATATGGTACATTAAGGTCTTTATGAATGGTTTTATTTGTGACAAAGTATGGAGCATTGTAAGGATTGGATACGATAGGAATTCGATGGTTTGGTGGAGCCCCAAAGCTCAACTCCGTATGTCCATATAGGTCTTATTATAGTTATGTAGATAAGTCTTTTGTAATTAATTGAATGTTTGGAGCGTTTGTCTAGTAAGTGTTGGAGCAGTCGAAAACGTCGAGCAGTTTCTTGTCGTTTCAGTCTAGTATGAGGATTCCAAGTAAGACGTTTATCCAAGTGGAGTCCTAAGTAGCGGGTTTGCTCAACAGGAATAAGTGGAGTATTATTGAAGGATACTGTAGGACAAGAAGTCATAGGTTTACGAAGGAGGGTAAAGGTGATTTGATGGGATTTGTTGGAATTTATTTTTATTCTCCAATTTTTACACCATTCTTCAAGGCTTGTGATATGTGATTGAAGAGTTTGGGATGCAATTAAAGGGTCATTATTAACAGATAGCAAACATGTGTCATCAGCGTAAGTGGTGATGACAGTGTCAGGATGGGTTGGGATGTCACCTGTATAAACTGTGTACTCGAGTACTCGGGATAAACTCGGGATAGGACCGAGGATACTACCTTGTGGAACGCCTGCAGATTGAGCAAAGAGGGATGAGCAGACATTATTTTGGTTAACTTTGAAGTATCTATCAGTAAGATAGGAGCGGATAATGAGGAAGTATGTAGGAGGTAGGACTTTTCGGAATTTGTACAGAAGACCCGGGTGCCAGACTCGATCAAACGCCTGTTTAACGTTTCGATAAATAAAACTAAATAAATAGTAGGAGATGCTACTATAATATGCGAGCACAGGAGGGATTTTCGCTTTAAATGAGGGCCTTTGCTAACACTAGACCATTCCCAACACTTAATATTCTTCAATAACTGCAGTGTGTGCCGAAAACTGGAGGATGAGGGGGGGTGCTGAAAAAAAGGGGGAGGAGGGGTGCCAACAACTAGGGGTTTAATAAGAGGCATCAAAGCTATTTCTAATTGGGGTTGATCCCCTTTATCTCAAAAGGAATAGAGATGCAAAAGGCAAGGGAAGAAACTAGAGGCAATAATTCCTCCAATAGTGTTTTAGTTCGTAAAGACAAATACACCAACAATAAATTGACAAGTATTACATTACTATTACTATCACTTACTGTCATGGGGTACAGTGACTGCCATCTCCCTCTGCTGCACGTAGAGGAGGCCGACCGGTCCCACCACCTTGGGCGGCTGGGTGGTCAGCCTGGCAGCCGACTCCCGGAACTGGGGGTGTGCGTGAACCAGGGCCGTCGTGTCCGGCAGTGGCTCCTCCAGGGGCACCCCCCCGACCGTCACCGTCATATCTGAAACAATAAATAATATATTAATATAGTTAGGTAACTACGGTTTACACAAAGGAACACCATTAAATAATGGAAGCTATAAAAAATGTCTAGCTTATGCATGATCAATCAAAATTACAGCTATGGTTGAGGAGAACATGGGTATGAAGATATTGTAAGAAAAGAAAGTGATGCATTCTCAGAAAAAAAGAAGGAATCTCTGGAAGATGAACTTGAGAATAGCGACGAAACGAGAAAAAGTTTATTCAGAAATAAACTGGCAGGATCTTGTTTCTACTTTTAATTCGATCATATCGACTTGGTAAGATCAAAATAGTATACGAGTAGATAACGCTAAGTGGGGACACACTAAAGTATAAATTAATAAAAAAGTTTAATAGCCATCCTAACTTAAAGAATTCGAAGGTATAGGATATAAAGAAGCTAAAAACAGTACAATCCATGGAGGGTATTGGGATCAGTACCAAGTAAGGAAGAAAACTGTTAAAGTCGAAGATTGCACAGAAAGATGATTGGGCCGAAATCACCGTTACGTTTTCTACCTTAATTTTTGAAATTTACAACTATATTAAATGAAAAAAAATACAACAAGTAAATATGAAACAAGTAACATGACATATACTACATGAAGTGAAACTACCCATTGGTAGCACTCCAATTATATTTCTATATTAGAAGGTCCCGAAGCCATTCAGATGCCTCTTTTCAGACGACTCGGAGCATAATCAGGAATAGAAAAGGAAACAAGGTTGGAAACAAGAGGGTTCGGATGGTTCAGAAGTTTATAATGGAAGGATAGGTATCTGGCTTGAGCTAAATCGGAAACATATGGTACATTAAGGTCGTTATGGATGATTTTATTTGTGACTAATTAATTATTAAATTAAGAGTACTCATTATATAGAGATTGGATGAATCCCAGGAAGGTCTCCTCATCTCAATGTCGATCCACAACTGATGTATCAGAATAAATAATTATCCGAAACAGCCAGAACCCTCAGCATAGAAGCATAGTGTCCTACTGACAGAGTTACTCTGCTCCAGGCATGGAATATAAATTGCTTAAAGTTGTTTGGAAAAGAAAACTACTTTTTCCAATGAGAGGATTAAGTATTACTTTTAGGGCAAATGCAAATATTGTAAACTTTGGCAGTTCAACAATAACGTAGCTAATACTAATTTTTATCGATTATGAAGAACATATGTTTCTTAACCAAGAATTAATATCTGGGTGGATTTATGGCTGTTTCTTTTTTTAGGAGTAAGATCTAAAGATGGGAAACTAGGCGCGGACCATACAGGATGATTGGTCAAGAAACCACTTGAATCAAAACAGCGGTCCACCCCAAAAATGTCGAAATTGCTGAGAAATCACGTTTCACCAACTTAGGTAGTCTTCGGAACGAAGGAATAGATGTAAGACTTATTTATATTACAATTTAAAGCATTATATGCATGTATACATAAAACATAAGCTTAAACAATTTTGAAGTATGTATCTTGGGATGTGTGTGTGTGGTCATCTAATTTATTATAACACTAAAACATTTTGAGATATGGAGAAAACCGCAAATAAATATATGGAAGATTTTTCATGAACTCCAACGAAGGCAGTATCCATGTTTCAAGTTAATAGTTCAACGCAAAAATAACTCGTGAAGAGACTAGCGATTAATCTCTACTCCTTTCCCGTAGGATTTAAGGGTCTAGTCTGCAGAAGAGGAACTTTCTCTTCTGGTTTCCAGGATGCAACCTCCTTTTCAGAGTTCACTAACAGTTGAGGATCTATAATTACGTTTTCAAAGTTCTAGGATTTCATCTTACGTTTCTTCAACATATAAGAATGTCCAATTTTCATATTTTTTACTCCATTTCAGAAGACGTCTTCAGATACACAATGTCAAAATATCAGAAAAATTAACTATAATAGAGGGCTAAATAATAATAAGAAATATGAGCTCACTGAAGAACACAGATTTTTTTTTCTTCTAAGCTTTAAGGGTTGTAAAAATTTAAACCAAAATATTTAATTATTACGATATAAAAATTATAAGTTATTGACACGTATTACTCGGCACTTGGGGTAAGCAGTAAAGAATGATTTTTTTCTTTCCACCTCAAATGTCAAAAGGAATAGAAACTTTTCAAAGTAGTTCAGTACTTCATAGTCGTCCAGTAAAATTTTGTACATTCGAAAGTGCGGACGTTGTGATGAAAGTTCAGGATTCCGATGAAGGATGGGCTTCACACTCCTCAAGATGATGTGTAAGAAGGCTCGTAATCACTGAAATTACAGGTTACATTATCATTTCATTCAGTTATGATTTATTGTAGAACTGCCAAAAATAATTTGCGAATTTTTAGAATCACAAAATGGGCTGGGGGGGGTTCATACTTTCATACACTAACTAAGTATAGTGAGTAAATAAGTAATAATAACTAGAAACGATAATAATTAACTAATAATAGAAGAGAAGTTGATTGAGGTGGTGAGTAAAAAAAAAATAAATATGTCGGCAAATATAAAAATAAATATTACTTTTATATATTTTTTTTTTTTTTAAGGAAGCTATTCGACTGATCTACATACATGGTTGATAAATAATCAGGACGCAGTCATTATACAATTTTTTTTAATAATTTTTTTTTGGTAACAACAATTGTTACCATCTATTTACTTCAGTTTAGGATCTTTTTACTTAGCTTACTCTGCTTATATTTAATTGTACTTAATGTTTATAATTATAATAAGCTTATTCACACTGTTCATAATTTTTTGTCTAACAAATCTAAATTATTTAGTCAGCAAATTATTTACATTCTACTAACAGAAATGTTACCTCCTCCACCTCTGACTAAGTTTACCTATCTTTTGCTATCTGAAAAAGGACAACTGTGAAATCCTTCCCCAACCTTTTCACTTACCTAGAAAATATGTCAGTACTTGAAAGCCTTCAGTGCTCGAACCACCATTAGTAATAGAGAATATTAGAAATTTTTATAAATAGATTATATATATTATTTTTAGTTTGTATAAATTTTTACATATTTCATTTTTAATACTGTGTATTGTAATAATAGTTAAGATTCATGTACCATCAAATCACTATAGTTTATTATTTACCCTTATCAGACGTATAATATTATATCTCTGATTGTATAATTTTCAGCCCTGAAGATGACCCACATGTTTAGATTGAAACGTTGGCACAAATAAAAAAATATTTTAAAAAATTGTATAATGACTGCGTCCTGACTATTTATCACTCATTAATTTTTGTTTGTTTATTATTGGTGACCTTTGGCTTAATACTTTTTAAAAAAACTAAAAACCGAACTTAAAAAATATGATAAGAAAACTTTTTTTTTTTTTTTTTGAAACATTAATCTTTTTTTTTTCTTTCTGAGCACTCCAACCAACTTCTCTTCGATTATTAACTACAGTCAACCATCAATCCACTATTATTAGTTAATAATAAATTAAATAATAACTGGATAACGGTATGCAAGACAATGCAAATTAATTTTAATTTCATTCTCAATTAAAACGAAAATGCAATCCGCTAAACGTCACTTATAAGGATCCTAATCTCATCAAGGAACACTACCACTCCTATCCAGCGTGACCTTTCACAGCAACGGGGAAATCCCGGTGGTTGCAGGGCATTGGTCGTTCACTTATTCGTTAATTCTTAAAATAACATTGTAGAAACAATATAAAGACTCTCCGTCTTTCAGTGTGATATTTCCTCCTCATGAGAAACATTGATTAATTTTAACTTTAACAATACATACTTCTTGTACAGAAGTTCATAGAGAAACCTATGGAGAGAACGCTTTCAAAAAATGTATATCTCATAATTCTCTTTGCATTCCCAGGCTCCTCAAGGTCCTATATTTTACACAGTTTATAGAATTGACATCCCAACCCATCCTGACACTGTCATCACCACATATGCTGATGACACATGTATCCTATCTGTTAATAATGATCCATCAACTGCATCCCAAACTCTCCAATCACATATCACAAACCTTGAAGAATGGTGTAAAAACTAGAGAATTAAAATAAATTTCAATAAATCCCATCAAATTACCTTTGCCCTGCGTCGCAAACCAATGACCTCCTGTCCTACAGTTTCCTTTGATAATTTCCCACTTATCCCAGTTGAACAAATCCGTTACCTAGGACTCCACTTGGACAAACGACTCACATGTATGTAATCCTCATACCAGACTGAAACGACTAGAAACTGCTCAACGTTTTCGACTACTACAGCACTTACTATACAAACGCTCTAAGCTTTCAATCAATTACAAACCACTCATATATATGACAATAATAAGACCTATTTGGACTTACGGAATTGAGCTTTGGGGCTCCACTAAACCATCGAATTCCTATCGTATCTAATCCTTGTAATCCAAAATCCTCAACGTTCCTTACTTTGTCACAAATAAAATCATCCATAAAGACCTTAATGTTCCATATGTTTCCGATTTGGCCCAATCCAGATACCTATCCTTCCATAACAAACCTCAGAACCATCCGAATCCTCTTGTTTCAAATCTTGCTTCCTCCTCGATCCCAGATAACCCTCCGAGGCGTCTGAAAAGAAGATGACCTCGTGATCTACTTGTGTAAATATATTATTAGAGTGCTACCAATGGGCAGTTTCTCAACAAGCGTTTTCATGTGATTTTATTATTACTGTGTGCACATATACTAGTTGTATTTTTTTATAAAACAGTTGTAAATATCAAAGAATAAAAAAAAATAAATAAAAAAAATCCATGCACTATATTCAGCTATATTATGCAGCAATGGACTGACTAGTGTTGAGAGAAAAGAATGCGGTACGTTTGCAATTATTAGAACCTAGGAAGGCAAGATACTACCAACTAGGTCAACTACCAAAATAGGTCATAAATCGGCTTTGCCTTGTTTCACTTAAGAGGGTATCGGTCCAAGTATTTATCTTAACCCACTCCTTCCCTACCGCAGAGCTGGAGGACTACGACCAGGCGAAGAGGTAATGATATGCGAACGGGCGGTAACGCACGCGGGGTCGATGCTCTGGGTTGGAGAGGGCCACGAGTTGTTCTAACTGTTCCCCAGCTTGTAGCGTAGACCTCTGCTGGCCAGGACCGCTCGCTGTAGAGGGTATTCTTCTCCATGGCAGTGACCGCTATCTTAGCAGTGTAAACAGAAGGAGGAAAAGGATGATCAAGGCCCGGCAGGAGATCATGAATAAACAAAGGGAAAAAGAATTACGTACATGAATAGGAAAATTTATTGAATATTTAACAATGCCATGGTAATACACGCCTATCAGTATAAAACGATCAGACATTCAACACTTCAACTTGTTTTTACGTGATAAAAGACAAAATGAAAAAATAATGGTAAAAATTTATCAACAGACGAGCTTATGTATATTATACGTGGTATGAGTACCTACTCATACCGACCATAGGTACAGTACCTTCATTCGATAGATAATAGATTCAATGATAGATTCGACTAATCCAAGTTTTAATTATTGCAAAGATTTTTTAGAAACATTATTACACAAATATTTATAAGAGAAATAATAAATAATACAAAATAATGTATAATAAATGTTAGGGGATCTATTTTAAAATTAAATTTAAAAAAATATATTTTACTGTAAAATAACATACTAAATAAACTTTTGGAAATAAGAATTTTCTATTTAATAAATATGGAATTATTATATATCGTCAATGATCATAACTTCTATTTCATTATCTATTTATTATTACTAATATATTAAACGGTTTTTAAGTTTTGGTTATTTATTAACATTGGTTAGTTTTGATGCATGTTACATATATTTTGGCTATTGATTATCTAATGGACAATGCTTTTGTTATGCGTATTCCGAAGTCATCCATAGTAACTCTCTGTGGGTTATTAATGGTGTGTCGAAACGATGTGGGTTGGTTACAAATCGCATGTCCATTATTTGCCGTTTCATTTATTTTACAATTGATGTGAAAGTTATAATGAGTATCAATTAAAGTATCAAATCCTCTATTATAAAAAATCGATAACATTTAAAGGTAAAACAAGCTTGAACTTGAAGATCATGAGAAATTTCCTGTTCTTAATTTTGACAAAAATTAAAATAGGAAATTTTAAAAAATTTTACTTTTTTTAAAAGTAAAATTGTGTCTATTATAAGACGCTGATGTAAGGTAATGAATAAGCATGTATATATGATAATATTTTAAATTATAAGTTCATTTTTACATGCTATTTAGATTATCCAGAAATTTTATAAATATGGAAACAAATATTTTTACCTCATGTTTTTCTCTATATTTGACAAGGTAACTCTTGATTTCTTCTTTCTACGATTAAGTCGTGGGGAAAACGTTTAATAGTAATAATTATTTAATAATAATTAAATTTTCTTCAATAATATATATTATTTTACTAGTTTATCTCCAACGGTTCAAAAGTTAGACCAATTAAAACTTTGTATGCCGATACCAAGGATCAGCAAACAATTTTTTTTTTTATAATATTCGTTATTATTATATTGCTCTAACTCTATATATATCTAAATCTCAATGTATATATATATATATATATATATATATATATATATATATATATATATATATTTATATACATACACACACATGTATATATACATATACACACAATAATGAGTAATACAAAAATTAAATTTTTCTGCAAATTCCTCCTCCCATCCTCCCCATTTGGCTTATCTCCTAGGAGTGGGGACTTTTAGTATGTTTACCTCGTTACTAGTTCAAACAATGTCCTAAAGTCAAAAATTGTGTCCCCGCCATTTCCTTCTCCATTCCCTTTTCAAGCCTTCATTGACTGGACTAATGGTACACGACAGGTAGGTAATTTAGAAACATTATCCAGTAATGTTTCTATCTTATTGATTATATATGTTACATGCAATCAAAACTACACCAATGTTAATGAATAACCAAAACTTAACAATCGTTTAATATATTTGTAGTAGTAAATAGCTAATGAAATAGAAGTTTTGATCATTGACGATATTTATCATTCATGTTATATCATTATATCATTTTATTAAATATAACATTCTTTTTTCCATTAGTTTATTCGGTATGTTATTTTACAGAAATAATATTAATATTAATTATAAAAATTAATTTTAAGATAAATCCCAGAGAGACATTATTATTGAAAACACTTAAATATTAACGAAAAATTCTAGAGTGATGGTAAACATCATTTTCAATTTAAAAAAAAAAATAATAATAAGTAAATTTGCAGTTGTGCAATAAATGTTATTCAGTCCAAAGAAGAAGTTATTGAAACAGTATTCTCGGAAATATTAATTGAATATCTTTCCATCTTAATTTTTAATATAATCATATTTTTTTTTTTTTAACATAAGGCTGATAAAGCAGAGAAAAGATAAATTCCTATCAATGAATGACAGTTATATTTTGATAAAGATTCTGGATATAGAATAGGAAATTAAATCACTGTATTTAATTGTTTAAGAGGAATGTAATAAAAAAACAATATTTCAACTCACTCTCTATTCTTGTATGTATAAAAAAAAGGATAGAGAGCCATGCTCTAATTTTATTTTATTTTATTAGTTCACGAGGATTTTAAAAAATATATAATCATATAACATTTAATTTTTTGGTTTATTATTTTCAATAATGAGCCATTGTAATCGAACAAAAAATTCAAGAACTTAATCCCCTCTCGAAATTTGAGGTTTTACGTTTCAGAATACGTAGATTACATGTTCTACTGCAAAGGTTATATCCTTTATGGATTTGGATTTTTGAATATGTATTATGGAATGAACGATTCATTCCCTATTTTTGCGGTAATTGTAATAAATCATAGAAAATATAATTATTATAAAACTTGATTCATTTTTTAAACCAAAATATTTACGAATTACAATAACCTGTATTTCAGCTAATAACGGTCGGATTACAATTATTTTTTTTTACATTTTTGAGAAATTCACAATTAAATTTTCTTTTCCTTCATAACTTTTTTCCTGGAATTTCGGGAAGAAGTGACTATTTTCCCTGCATGAAGGAGAAGTCACTCAACAAAATGAGAGCTCACTCATTGGATTTGATGAATAATTGACTAAGATACGGCGTACCGAAACAAAACATCACCTTTGAAAAATAATATATAAATATAGTATAAGTCAAGACTTCATTACATTCTATTATGTCATTTGTCATAGAGTCGTCGGAAAATGTGACATAAGTCATCACCGCTGAGAAAATGGTTCATTAGGTAAAGAAAAGAGTGAAAGCATAAGTAAAAAAACATAAATAACATGAATAAAAATCAGAACAAGAAATGTTAAGAAAACAATGACGGCTGATCTCTTTAATTGTTCATAAAGTCAGCGATACAATCCCCTTTTATTAACATCCGTCAAAAACTTCGTGAATGACTTCATCTTATCGTAACTTACAAGTTTTTTAATTACGAAAATTCTCGAAAAACGAACATTTTGAATTTAGAGATCGGTAAGCATTGTCTATTCAATGAGGTACTAAAACTCATGATTCGTTTTCTTTTTTTTCACATGAGCCGTAAGAGAATTTGATCACAAAATAGAGAAAAAAGGTGACCAAAAAACTATTGAACCGTTTGGCGTCACCTCCACCCGCAACATGTCAAAATAACGAGGTTATGTAGACCAAACGGCCCAATATTTTTGTGAATCTCTTTTTTTTCTGGATTTTGTGATCAAATAATCTTACGATTCAAGTGAAAAGCAAGTGGATATTCATGAATATTAAGTACCTGATAAAATTAATTAGTGTTATGCGTAAACGCCCCCCTTCTGAGAATTTTCTTAGATAAAAATTTGTAGGTTGCGATAAGATGGGGGTCGGACGATAAAGGAGTCTGACCACGAACTATTAACACATTGTGGCATAAGGTAAATGGTCGTATATGAGAAGTTTTAAAAGGGAATCAATTAAATGTTATGAATTATTTTATAATATTTCTCGAGTTATAAGTCGCTGTTTCTTGTTACATTAAACGATTTATTGATAAATTTGTTAGTTTGTCAGACAAAATCAAAATTCCACAATTATAACAAAATAATATCCAAATCTGTAAGTTAAAGTTAAAATAGCAGCTATTTGAGACAGAAGAGGCCTCTGTTCTAAGGCGGGGGAAGCGACCCAGTTGTAAAGGTTAAACAGCGGGTCGTGGTACTAATTAGATGCTAGGTACCAACCTACTAGCCGGTACCTACCAAGGGTCGCCATTACTACTATCGATAGTATCCATAACTTCGATGAAAGACAGAACATCGATAGCCAATTTCAAATTTTGGTAGAGGAATGAGAGAACTAAAAGAAAACTAGACTAATTTACGATGGTGTAGACTGCTGGAAGATACTATTGAAGAGAAGTTGGTTGGCGATTTCAGTCTAGGCTTATAATAAATTATATTATTTTTTTTAATTCGTACTTCTAATGACTACAATTCCCAACAAACTTGCATTCAACAATATATTAAATTTGATTATAACACTGAAAATCAAATGTAAAAATTAATATTTAAAAAAATTTTTTGCGGTGGAGTTTGTAAAGCAGTTCCGGGTACCAAACTTGATAAAAAGCCTCCTCTATCCGTTGACTCCCGTGCAGAACATTTATCTAATACACGATCCACATCCCTCAGACGATGATATTGCTAGATAGTGCAATGGGGTATGCGAAATCCAAAGTGGTGATTTGGGATTATGTGATTAGAATCTAAGATGGGGTAGGCATTGTGAGATGATTTTTCTCAGAATTGTCATGATGGGTAAAAGAAAGATATTAAGAGGATGGATATTCTGGTGTTTTATGGGCTTATGTATCATTTTGACAATAGTTTCCAATGGTCAAGAAGTAGGAGTAAAGCATTATATATATCTATATGTAAGTAAGGAATAGAATGGCATTCTGAAAAAGCAGTTTAAAGATATGGGATGTAATTATAATAATAAAATTAAGTTATAAACTAGTAGGAACTTTCACATTACTTAGCAAACCTCTCCCTAGTGCAGACGACTTCAGCAAAACATATTTGTTCGGGTATACAATATTTTTTTGTCCTTTCGTTCCTCGCTTTTTAGGCTATACG